TGGCAAGGGCTGTTCCATGCTCTGCTCAACCTCCCGCCTTCCCAATGGACTCAGTAGCGCCCCCTGCTGCCGTGGAGCATGTGTGAGTGAGTGTGTGTTTGCACAACCACGGCGGAATATTCCTAGAAATATGTTATGTGTTTGTTTGATAGATACGTTTTTTCTTTGCAAAACTAAATGCATTAGTTTGTAGATGGTGTTTTGTATTTGCAAACCACATTGTGTTTGTTAGTGAATCATGAGGCATTTGTAAAACCTGTTTAGTTTGTTTGTGGAGTTATGGCAGGAAATTAGCTCCATACACGTTCCACAAAACAAAGTCCTTCGCCTCCCCCGGGTCCGTGAAACTGTGTCGCTTTCCATCAGCCGTTGTGATCCGCAAAACTGAGGGATACCACAGTCCGTACTTGACACCATCACAGCCTCTTAGCATGCCTTTCACGTCCCTATAGGCGGCTCTCTGCTTCGCGACTGCTTGGGTGTAGTCGGGGAATACTCTGATCCTGTCTCCGTGTGACATTGTCGGATCTGTGGCCGTGGCTGCCTTGCGGAGGGTCGCTTCCTTCTCCCGGTAATAGTGACATCTCACCACAAAGGCACGGGGTGGCTGGTCCTCCTGAGGCCGATCCCGTAGGTGTGCGATGGCAGCTGTCTAGTAATGACTCTTTTTCTAAGCCCAGCGATTCCTGGAGTAGTTTAGCTACAAAGTCAGTTGGGTTCTTCCCTGCCTCCCGTTTTTCTTGTATCCCGGTGATGCGGAGATTGCACCTCCTAGACCGCGCCTCCAGGTCCTCACTCCTGTCAGAGAAGATTTTCATGTCCTTTTTTAGCTGCTGCACGTCTCGTTCGAGAGTGGTAATGAGGTCCGAGTGATCATTGGCACTATCCAGGCTCTCAACCCGGTCCTCCAAAGCCTTGGTGCGGCTGCTGACGCGGTCAATGGCGGATCTCAGCTCGTCCCTCAGTTGGCTTATTTCACGTCGTAATTCTTTAGACTGCATCTCGGCGTTGTCATCAATTTTTTTCAGCAGGTCTTCTCTGAGAGATCGAATGGCCTGTAGAATGGTGGCCTCATCACCTCGTGCTGCGCTAGCGGCCCTGCCCCAGCACCTTTAGCCGGGCTAGCACTATTAGCTTTCGGATCCGGCACAGCAGTCACCTTTTTGCGAGAGGAAGGCGACATTTTCAAATGAAACTCTCGGGCTGAGGCAAGGAAGAACAGCTTAGATTAAAGTTACTTGAATATAGTGTAGAAGGTAGCCTAATATAGATATTCTGATTCTGGCGAGGAGCTCGAGAAATGCGACCTCACATGGCTCCGCCCAGACCGGAAGTCTAATTATCAGTTTAATCTAATGTTTATTCTGGTAAAAACTGAAGTGTAAAAATGTAAATTTCATCACAAAAAAAAAATCAATTCAAGCGTTTCACTTTACAAAGTTTGGATACAATCTGGAGAATTAGGTCCTCACTATAGTTTCCATTTCACACATATCACATAGCAGGAGATTGGCCGTGTCCGATGCATTCTCACTTACTGCAAATACTCTGGTTAGTGCAAGGAGTGGCCTCTGGGTTGTCTGTCTTGTAGGACACCAACACCCACAGCATCTTTTTTATAACCCTGAGTTATAATAGTCTAATTTAAAAGGACAGATGTGTTTCCTAAAATGTAGAAATGCTCCTTTAAGAGTTTGGTTACAGCAGTGAGTGGTATCAGGATGGTTCAAGTTGGGAGGGGTTAAAAGTATCTGGGGTGGGGTACATGTAAGTATTGTGTTGGTTTTATTGACTGAAGCCAGCATTCTTGTGGTGGCATTGAAGTGTTATTTTTGTAATGTGCCTCTGTATGCAGTACTGTACACCCATTATGATGGAAATCGTCCTCTAATCTGCAGCCATGCGAATGAGCAGAGACTGGAATGCCAAGTGTTTTTTTTTTAGGAGTTTATTGAGTATGCTTCTTAAATTGTTTATGTACATGTGTGTTTGTGTTGTGTGGCTTGATTGATGTTTAAGTAATAACATGAGGTTGTTATTAGGAGTGACACTTAAACCTTAGACCTCTGTGTGTGTGGAGGTTTAAAACCCTGCGAATATGTTTCTGACAAAGCAGTGAGGGCTGGGATGTTGAGGTTGTTTGAGGCAAAGAGGGTCATTCTGAGTTGAAATTGTTAGTGTGTGTGGGCACAACATGAAGTGACTCTCACAAGCAGCTTGAACTGAACAGCAGGAGCAGTCAACCTCTGAGGTCAGACATTGAGGCAGATCTGTAACTCTCCACTCAACCATTGACATCAGGGATTTGGTTTCTAAATCTGTCCACTCACTTTGCTGCTTTTGACTGCCTCTGTTCGTCCTCAAAGCACATAACAGAGGTTTCTGCTGAGAGGTCAGAGAAGGCTTTTGTTCACCTTCTTAGAAAACAGGAGAATTGAAATGTAAACAAGGGCTTGCAATATTCTGCTTTTTGACTCAAGGCCTGACTTGTACTATACAGCAGAGCTAAATGTTGTGTATGGTTGACCGCCCTGCAAGAATGCACTCATACAGTACGTTCAAACATGTAATCCAATAACTGTTTACTAGGTTTGACTGCTCTCCAACTGTATCTACTGCAAATTGGTCTGTGTGTATTTTTGGAATTTAAAATATGTTTTGGCAATGTATGCAACAAGCATGACTTGCTGATGTAAATATTATATAGTTGGTGTCATTAACATGTATAATCTACAATAAAATCTCGTTTAAAATTGTTTTACGATGTCTAAGTTACTGATAAGTCACATGTTTCCTGCCTGGCCGTAGCGTGTATCATACACTCTCTCGTCCGGGCGGTAAGAAGGAGCCCTCAGCCAGAGCAGCTGCAGCCAACAAGCTGACTGTTGCTATCTGTAAACTATGCCGCCGAAACATAATTTCAGCCAATCAGCGTTGTCAGATCTGATGCTCAAAGGGCGCCCTGTCAGAGCCCTGGCCTGTGTGTCTGTGAGTTGTTTAGACTCGTATCCAAGGTGACGCTACAGTAGTTGCAGGTGGAGACTCCGGTGCTAGTGGATCGCCGGAGCTGTAGATTAACATGTACATGCTTATTGTAGTTGTAAGGGCAATGCCTGTGGCACCATGGAGCATATGTGTGGGCTGGACCTGTATTTTACAGGAAAGGAGTGAGCAGAGGGTCGAGTTGTCGATTCTTGTTCAGTTTTCATCTTTCTCACCCTCTCAGACTTTGAGTTGCGCGCGCTGCTAAAGAGACGCCATGGAAACCAAACAATGGTGTAGCTGTATTAAAGTCCGAGTGGAAACAGTCGTGAGTAAATCTGATTTTGTCAGAAATTGGGAGAAATGCGGGAGTCTCCCGCGAAAATCGGGAGGGTTGGCAAGTATGACACACACACACACACACACACACACACACACACACACACACACACACACACACACACACACACACACACT